AGGGTTGCTATGAGTCGCAAACGACTCGATGGCACATAACAACAACAACAACAACCACCACCTCCATGAATGCTGCTAAGTTTGAACTCACTGTTGAGGCTATTATGTAAAAACATCTCACTGAAGGTTTCCTTATTTTTATGATTGTTTATGTTACAGAATACAATGTCTTTCTCTAGTAATAGATATTTGCTGACAATGATGTCTCATCACTCTCACTTCTCTGGAACATTCCATGTGTATTTGTTCTAAGACTGAATTCTACACATTAAATATCGTATTAGTGTAAGCTAGGATAACACAGTGCTTGACTGCCAATCTACAGGCTGGGTGATGCAAACTCACACAGTGCATCAGAGGAAAAAGCCTCAAGGAAACCATGGTGGCTTAACAATAACAAACTGAGCTGCCAATGTAAAGCACACGATTCAAATCCACCAAATGCTCTGTGGGAGAAAAATGAACAAAACAACTCCTGTGTCATTTACTACCTCTGAAAACGTACTGGAGGGTCAGCTACGGGTCAGCTCCAGCTCTACAGTACACAATGTACTCCATCGAGATTTTGTGGATGAGGTAAATTCACTACAGCTGAGTCTTGATGATCTTTCAGGGGAGCAGAAACATACGTGAGAAGGAAGGGCAATAGCAGTGACCCTAAACATGCCCCATTCTGAAGATAAGGAAAGAATGTTGGCCACTTGTACCCATTTTAGCATTAGTACGCCTATTAAGTATGAACTGTTTTGACCTCATTTTGACAAAAGCCTGCCATTCTGACATCATAAGCTCTCTCAACTCCATGCTCTACCTTGAATGAGTAAATGTAATCTAAATTAATATAAATCTGTGTGCTACAAAATACTACTGAAGTTATCGGTACATACCACAGCATCCAAATTGTTGTGATACAATTCTGCTTGACTTTGTTCAATGTAACGTTGTTTGGCATGAACAAAAGCTGGTATTCCTCCATATGCAAAGCCAATGATGCCAGCTGAAACTGTTGCCTTATAAATATTCTGAAGCTCTTCAGAAGTTCTCTGCATTTCACTACAACATCAAAAAGATAGCATTTAGTTTGTAGATATTCCTCTCCAAAACACATCATAATCAGTATATTCCCAAATGCTACTACCACATACACAAGTAATTTGTTAAATTATGGGCAGAATTTATTAAACCCTCTAATCAGCTAACAGTGTAGTAATACCAAAAGGAGCTCAAATTTCTGGAAAAACAAAACAATGTATCTATGTTCTACGAAATCAGGATAGTAGTTAGTCTGGGTACACAGGGACTGGGAGTTTCTGGGATGTTTGAAATAGTGGGTTTTTCCTAGGTGTAGGCTATACATATACATTCAGTCTGTGAAAATGCATTGATTAGTATTGTTATGTATGTTTTTCAACATACACGTTATATATCAATGAAAAGAATTTTAAGAAACTTTTCTTCACGGTGAAACAGAAGAATCTGTGATTTAGATTAGAGATCAGTATTTCCCTTCTTGAACAGCAAACTATTTTCCAGCACCTCACCAAGAAAAAGGGAAAAACCCCAATTGCAAAATGGGCACAGGATATGGATAGACACTTTACCAAAGAAGACATTCAGATGGCAAATAAACATGAAGAAATTTTTTAAATCCCTAGCTATAAGAGAGATGCAAATCAAAACAACTATGAGATATCATCTCAGCCCAGCAACAATAGCAAAGTTCAACAGAGCAGCAAATAACAAATGCTGGCAAGGTTGTGGAAAGATTGGAACCCTTATTCACTGTTAGTGGGAGTGTAAAATGGTGCAACCACTATGGAAGGTAGTCTGGCACTTTCTCAAAAAGTTGGAAATAGAAATACCATTTGACCTAGCAATTCCATTACTGGGAATATACACCAAAGAAACTAGAACCACAGTTCAAACAGATATATGCACACTCATGTTTACTGCTGTGTTATTACCAACAGCAAAGAGACAGAAGCAACCTAAGTGCCTATCAACAAAACAATGGCCAGAAAAACTATGGTATATTTTACACAATGGAATACTACACAGCACTGACAAACTAGGAGCTCGTAAAACATTACACAACATTGGTGACCCTGGAGGACATTATGCTGAGTGAAATATCTCAGTCACAAAAGGACAAATGCTGCATAGCACCACTGTTATAAAACAGGACTGGCATGGGGAGTTAGCAGGATAATTAGGAAAAGGGAATACACATAATGAACACCGCATTGGAACAGATGAAGGAAAGAACTGTTTAAAAGGAATATTATTAATAAGTGTTATATGTATGACAACAGTGCAGAATAAGAGGTCACTGCAAACTGGAGGAGGGGAGGAAAGAAATTATACAACAATGAAGGACTATTAAAACAAAAGTGAACTGGAAAAAGGGAGGAGGAAAAAATAATTGTAGAAAATTAACAAAAACGCTTGCACCAAGTCAGAAAAATAAATCATCATTAACCTTGGGATATAAATTAAACCTTTGTATTTCTCTTGCTACACAAGATTAGATCCTGGTGCAGGATAGGACGGGGTCTCAATCGATTGTTCACTGGGTCACTATGAGTTAGACTCTACTGATGGCATTTAATAACAGCAAGAATAAAATAAGCCTCCTCAGCTTCTGCCCACTAAAAAAAAATTACTTATGGGACAACATAAGCCATAATAAAAAACATATTTGAAAGAGGGCTTATACAAAAAACAGCCATAAGAAATCACTACACAACAGGTTGTTGTTGTTGTTATGTGCCATCGAGTCACCTGCGACTCACAGCGACCTTATGTACAACAGCCCTAAACTCTGCTCTGTCCTGTGCCAATCGCACTGTCTCCGACACTCCCATCCCAATTATCCCAGTCACTGAATCAATCCACCTCATAGAGGGCCTTCCCCTCCTGCGCCGTCCCTCCACCCTCCCAAGCATGATGTCCTTCTCCAAGGACCGGTCTCTCCTCACAACATGTCCAAAGTATGTTAGACGGAGCCTCAGAATCCTTGCCTCCAAGGAGCCACCTGGTTTAACCCTTTCCAGGACGAATCTGTTTGTTTTCCTAGCAGTTCATGGTATTCTCAATACTCTTCTCCAGCACCACAGCTCAAAGGCATCATCAATTCTTCTATCCTCCTTGGTCATTGTCTAACTCTCTGATGCATAACAAGTGATTGCAAAGATCATGGCCTGTATCAAATGCACCTTAGTCTCCAGGGAGACACCATTGCTCTTCAGTACTCTGGAGAGGTGCCTAACAGCAGACTTTCCCATGGCAATGAGCCTTTTAATTTCCTGGCTACTGGTGCCAAGAGTGTTTACTGTGGAGCCAAGCAAACTAAAGCTGTGTACAATCTCAATCTCTTCACCATCCATCCTGATGCTGCCAATTGGTCCAGTGGTGAGAATCTTTGTCTTCTTGACATTGAGCCTCAATCCATATTGGAGGCTGCAGTCCTTGACACTCTGCAGCAGGCGCTTCAGGTCCTCTTCAGTTTCAGCAAGCAGGGTTGTGTCATCTGCATAATGCAGATATTGATAAATCGTCCACCAATCTTGACCCCACATTTCTCCTCATAGAGCCCAGCCTCCCGGATAATCTGTTCTGCATACAGGTTGAAAAGGTATGGAGATAAGATGCATCAAGAACTACTGAATAGAAATTTTCCTTTAATTTCTTGTAACCAAATACATAAGACGACCGCTAGGGAGCTCTGGCAGCGTACTGCATAGGGAGTTGCGCTGCTAACCCAAAGGTGGCCCTTCTAGCTATTTGAATTCACCAGCAGCTTCACAGGAAGGACAAGTCAACACCTCCCATGTGGTTCACAGCCTCTGAAAGCCTGATGAAGCCTCAGCTATGAGGCTGTTTCTGCTTCCAAGATGTCCACTCAAAACTGTTGTAACAAAGCTCAAAACTTGGAAGCACTAAATTACTATAAATAATAACTTTCTTAGGTAAGTCAATTACTCAGTGTTCTTTCTCTTGCATTGCTAACTTGCTTTGTACAGAGACTGCACAAGTGTTCAAGAACCACAAAATTTCTAAAATAAGAATCAGTGAGTGTTCATTATTTCTGCAGTAACAAGAAAGAAATTTAAGTAACCTTTCTCAGAAAACCAGTTTTCAGAGTTAGGAAAAATTTCTATAATTTGAACTTTATCTTTTATATAGTAAGTTTTTTTTAAATTTACATTATTGCCAGACCCAATCTCTCTATACTGTTGTTTCCAGATCCAAGAAATGGGTAAGAAGCAAAGAGGCACATTACATTACATTACATTCTTTCAGCTCCAAACTGTGATTTATACAGATTATTAAAATTATCTTCTTCTGGTATATACTGCACAAAATCTTTACAAGTATCACAGACACTGGGAAGATCACTGAGAAAAGCTCCCTCATTGTGTTGAAAAATAATTCCATAAACCACCGTCAGCTTTTATCTAGCCATCTGAGGTCATTATGTAGTATGATAAAGTACTTCCTGAGAGATGGTCCTGTACAGTACAGTTTCCACCCGAAGTGAAGAATGAAGAAATATATGAAGAAATAAATGAACTAATCTGTTTCTATTAAGTTAAATTTAATGGATTCTCTTTTACTCTGAAATGCTTTTTAAATGTAATATGCTTTTATAAAATGATGAAACAATAGTTGCCCGTAGTTTTCATTCCTTATTTGAAAACTAAAGCTTTGACAATCGTGTTTTCTGTGGGAGCAAGGGTTACAGATGAAAGCTTGAGATGAACTGAAGTGGTTTGTGTGGGGTTACAACGTCAGCTATACTACTAACTAGCTGGACATAGCTAATGTTGTGATCACACTAGGTGTCCCCAAAATGCTCTACTTTTAAATAAGCCTGACCTTTATTATCTAAATACCTGTCACCCAACTACAAAACAGCACTGTCAGAATTATTTGCTTAGGTTACAATTTAGAACCTCAAAGCCCACCCCAAAAATACACTAACTAAACCCCCCAAACGTCTTTCACCCCGGATTATCCAGATTGAAGGACACCTGCTTTCGCAGTCCCTCCCCACAGACCCTAGGTTTTACTCTTTAACAAAGAGCTCCCGAAGGCGGTCCCATCCAGACTCTGGGACGTAAGGAGGCAGCTTCAGACCCTCTGCAGGGGCTTCGGAATCGGCAGCCACGGCTCCAGCAGCAAAGACTCGGGGGAAAGAACCTAACACCCTGCGGAGCAGGCTCTTTGGCACCGACGGCGTCTCCTCCATTGTCCTCTCCCGACGAGAGGACAGACACACGATTGGGCCCCAGTGCCCCAAGGTCACTTGAAGGTGCCTTAGAACGAGGGTGAGAAAGGGCTTAACTCGCAGCCAGAACACTCAGGAGCCCCATGTTTACAGCCCGGTCTCACTTTGAAAGCGCTAGACCCACGAGACAGGAAGTCCAGCCCCCAACACGGCAAAGGTCGAGGGGCGGGACGGCAGTGGATCCGACTTCTAAGCACTTCCTGGTGGAGGTGGGGCGGGCCAGGAGCCTTTCCCCGGAAGTGAGTGGTCATCGAGCCCTCGAACTTGTCCCCGGTGCCTCATAACTTCAGACAACCTGGTTCCGCGGCAGCCTACTCTGGGGAAGGTTTAAGTCCCCGGGCTTAGTCACAAATTTAAGTCATTCACTGCATGTGAAAGACCGTAGATTGCATGTAGTTGTAGAAGCGTAGTTAGTATTTAGTGCGAGTACGGAAAGTGGAAAGAAGCAAATCGACCCCCACGCTAGCACTGCACCGGAAACCATACCTCCGGGTTCATTTTCTATTTGGTCAGTTCTGATCGATCGCAAGAACGACAGTATTCGAAGTTTATAGTGTTGGTGTCACCGAAGTTTCCAAACGTTCTTTTAAAGAAACTCCCTTGGCAATTTTGTTAGGCTTACTGATTCTCAAAAGGCAGGGACTTTACTGGAGTTTCTAATGAGGTGTTTGATGCTGTTATGTGCCCTTGAGTATGACTCGCAGTACGACTCACAGCAACCCTACGGACAGATCTGAACCCTTTCCTATCTTGTGCCGTCCTTATCACACTGCAGTCTCTGTGACAGCCCGTCTTGATGAGAGTCTTTCTCTGACCTTTTCAAGCATGATAGTCCTCTCCAAGGATTAACCTCTCGTAGCAGCATACCCAAAGTATGTGAGATGGAGGTTTGCCATCTTTGCTGCCAAGGAGCATTCTGGTTGTCAAGGGGATGATTTCCAACAGAGGTCCAGGGGCCTCTTCTAATAAGAACTAGAAAGTTCTGAATTGGAAATACAAGAAAAGACACCAAGTGAGAACAAGAGAAAGAAACAGGTTTATTACACGTTCAGGACAGACTGACTCCGTTTTTATCTTACAGAAGAGTATATCTTTTTTTTTTTTTTTTTTTTTTTTTAGAAGAGTATATCTCTTTTGTTAGCAGGAAGTGGAGTTTAAACAGCTGATAGTGCATTCCTTCTAATGGGTATGGTGTCTTTGGCCATTTCTTATCTTTTCCTTGAGTCTGTTCTCTGGCCACATTCCTTGAGAGTCTGTTTTTATTGTCATACAGCCGCATTCCTTGAGGGTTGGTTTCTATTATTAAATTGGCATAGTCTTTGTCAAAACCAGTTCTGATGGATCTCCTTTGTCAGTGTGTCCTTTGCCTTTAACTGTCACTCCAAGACAACCATTTGTTCTTTTGGCACTCCATTCAGTGATCTTCTACAACACCCCGACTGGAAGGCATCAATTCTTCTTCTGTGATTCTTATTCAATGTCCGGCTTTCAGATGCATACCAAGTGACTGAAAAACCATGGCCTGAACTGACATCATTGCTCTTCAGCATTTTGGAAAGATCCTTGGCAGCTGTCCCAATGCAATCTCCTCACTACTGATTTCAAGGATGTGGACTGCTGTTCCAAGCAAGATGAAATCGTTGACAACCCTCTTTTCACCCCTCTGTCATTTTGCTTATCAATCCAGTGTTTAGGAAGTCTGTTATCCACTCAGTTAAATGCCTTTGCATAGACAATAAAACACAAATAGACATCCTTCTGGTGTTATTTGCTCTCAGCCAGGATCCACCTGACATCAGCAACAAAACCCCTAGTATTTGATAGTTCAGCATTAATTTCCTGCCGCTACAGCCTTTGCTAACTTATGTTTAGAGATATGGTTGTGTGTATGTGTGTGTGTGTTTTAAAAAAATTATTAAATGCATGATAGAAGTATCGTTTTTATTTCAAATACGTACATTTCAATTATTCTTAGACTTCTTGTTATGTATTGTTGAGTCAGAATCAACTCAGCTGACCCTCCAGCAGGTTTTCATATGCTATAAATTGCACAGGAGAGACTGCCCATCTTTACCCCTGAGGAGCAGCTGGTAGATTCCAACCGCGTGTCTTATTGTAAGACTAGTTTGTGTAATTTCATTCAATCCTTTCTTGGTACCAAACATACTCCAGTCACTCGACTAGTCTCTCCTGCTCCTTTATTCTTTTATAGATGTGATACAAGTATATGTTACTGGAATGGACACACTACCATGGTCCTTAGACTGCAGGAAATCGAATTCCTGAACTTAATAACTGGAATTTCTAGAGATGCGTCCCAGAGAAGTGATAATTAGGATTACATAGCCAACTTGTGCCGGTCACAAAAATTTAGCTAGTATCAGGTAGATAGGTACCCATCATAACATTTAATACATTGCATCAAGTTAGTCTATTTGCTGATCTTAGTAGACTTTCAGGCCAGAGTCTACTTTTATTCACCCCTGTCTCTCCTGGACCTAAACAGTGACTGACAGATGTTCAATGAAGATTTCAGATCCCCTGAGTCATAGACCTGATGCCAGGATGCTGCTTATCCCATATTAGGAAGAGGTGGCCACCCGGATAAACCTAAAAGCCCCAAATCCTAAGAAAAGGGTGTGTAATTTAGAAGACAGCTACTTGGCCAACTGACTGGAAGAGACCCCTATTTATTCCCATTCCCAAGAATGGTGACCCAACATAATATGAATATTATCTAACAATATCATTAATATCACATGCAAGCAAAATGTTGCTGAGGACCATCCAGTGTTGGCTAAAACAGTACATCGACAGAGAACTGCCAGAAGTTCAAGCTGGGCTTAAAAGAGGCTATTTCCAAGAGTTATTATTGCTGATGGCAGATGGATTTTGGCTGAAAGCCAAAAATACCCGAAGAATGGCTATTTAGGTGTTATTGACTATCAAAAGCATTTGTGTGGATCACAACAAACTATGGGCAACATTTAGAAGAAGGGGAATTTGAGAACACTTAGTTGGGCAAGGGAGTTCTGGTGGCCTAGTGGTAAGAAACTGTATGGCAAACCCAAAGACTCACAGTTCAAATCCACCAACTGCTCTATGGGAGAAAGATGGGCTATCTTATCCCAGGTGATTTACTCCCTCTGAAAACCCACTATGTGATTTAAGGGTCAGTTCTGACTCAGTGGTACACAACAACATATCCAGCTCAAGAAGTTGTCTGAGCACAAAGGGAACATTTCATGGTTTAACTTCAAGAAAGGTATGCATCAGGACTGTATCCTCTCTCCATACCTGTTCTATCTGTATACTGTACAGATAATTTTTTTAACTTTTATTGTATTATTTTTACGTGTACCGTCAAATCAGATCTGACTGGTACAGGAGGAGACTGCCCCCTCCTTCTCCAGCAGAGTATCTGGTAGATTTGAACCGCATACCTCTGTGTACAGATAATTTGACTGGATTTTATGAAGAAGGATTTGGTATCAGGATTGAAAGAAGACTCATCAACAGCCTGGATGATGTAGATGACAGAAGCCTGCTTGCTCAAAGTGAAGAAGACTTGAAACTTGTTGCAGAAGATAAAAGACTACAGCCAGCAATATGGATTACATTTCAACATCAAGAAAACAAAGATACTCACCACTAGACTGATAGACAACATCATGATAATGGAGGAAAGATTGAAGTTGTCAATGATATCATGTTGCTTGGATCCAAAATCAACATTGATAGTAATAGGAGTCAAGAAATCAAAAGACATTCTGCACTGGGGAAATCTGCAGTTAGGAACCTCTCCAAAGTACTGCAGAGCAATGAAGTCAGCTGTGCCTGATTCAAGCCATAGTCTTTTCTTTTTTAATCGAGATTTTAATGAAAGTTTATATAGAGAACTTGGATTTCCATTCATTTCTTGTTGCACATTTTCCTCCCTACCCACTTCCACCTCCAAGTTTGTTTTTCTCTTTGAAAAAAATAATTCTTTGTTATAAAATTCCCCGCCCCCAGTCCACTTTACTACGCAGCTCTTACTCTGGACTGTTGTCATGCAAATAATACCTACTTATATATTACTTTTAAACAGTTCTTTCCCTCATCTGTTTCAATGCAGTGTGTAGTATTTATCCTCTCTTAATTAATTTCCTTCAACCCCCACTGTCAGACCTGTTTTATAACAGTGGCATTATACAGCATTTGTCCTTTTGACTGAGATATTTCACTCAGAATAGTGTCCTCCAGGGTCACCCATTTTGTATATTTTATGAGTTCCTTATTTTTCATTGCCGCATAGTATTCCATTGTGGGAATATACCATAGCTCCTCTACCTATTTGTTTGTTGATGGGCATTTGGGCGGCTTCCATCTCTTTGCTATTGTGAACAATGCAGCAATAAACATGGTTGTGCATATATGTTTATATGCCAATTCTTATTTCTTTCAGGTATATTCCCAGTAGTAGAGAATTACTGGGTCAAATGGTATTTCTTTTTCCAACTTTTTGAGAAAGCATCACACTGCCTTCTAGAGTGGTTGCACCATTTTACACTCCCACCAATGGTAAGAGTTTGTTTCTCCACAACCTCACGAGCATTTGTTTGCTGTTCCTGTTGAATTTTGCTATTGTTACTGGGGTGAGATGATATCTCATAGTTGTTTTGAAGCCATAGTCTTTTCAATTGCTTGCTATGCATCTGTCTAAGAACTGGACAATGAATATGGATCAAAGAAGAAAGATCAATCCCTTCTAGTTATAATATTGGAGAAAAGTGCTGAGCATCCTATGGACTGCCAAAAGAATAAACAAATACGTCTTGGAAAAAGTGCAGCCAGAGTGCTTCGTAGAGGCAAGAATGGTGAAGCTTCACCTCACATTCTTTGGGCAGGTTGTTAGGAGAGGCTCTTCCTTGGAAAAGGACCCTCAATTAGATGGATTGTCACAGTGGCTGCAGCAATGGGATCAAGTCTATCAGAGATGGTAAGGATATGACAGGAGAGTTTAGAGCTGTTGTTCACAGGTTTGCTATGAGTTAGACTCAACTTGATAGCACTTACCAACAACTTCATCATAAAGAAATACTTAAGATAACCTTCAAATCACACAGGGATGAGTGAGTGCATGGCAGATACTAATGAAAATACACACAGGGATGAGCACATGACAGATATTAATGTGTTCAACATAATTCAATTTCCCCAGTATTCACTAATCTCTGGATAAGATCTTATCAACAGGCAAATTCCACTAATAGAAGCCATCAGGAGCCTCTCTGATAAGGTTCCCTTTGCCATTTTATACCTAAAGACGGTCTCCAGACCCTTGACTACTGCTCACCTGTTGCTAGTGCTCCTCCTCAGCTCTTTCAGGTTGTCTTTTCCTTTTCTTGTCACCCTCCTAAGACTTACCTTCTACTGCTAGCTAAATACTGTCCTTCCTCTGTGAAGGACAGAGCTCCTGAGCTCCTTTTTGGAAGTTGTTGCTGCCTGTCATCAAGTCAATCACGACTCATAGCATCCCTATGAACAAAATACCTGAAGCTTTTCTTTAACTATCATAGTTTCTCTAAGTTCATAGAGTTTCCGAAGGCAGGCACATTGTTTAGGAAGTGGATGCCATTCCTGCTTCCAAACCTGTCTTATCACCAAAAATTACTACAAAAGGCATAGGGAGTTGTACTGCTAACCCAAAGGCAGTATCTTTCTGGTGATCAGAATCCACCAGAAGCTCCATGGGTGAGAGATGGGCAATCTCCTCCAATGCAATTTATCATCTTGGAAACCCAATGGAAGGTCAGCTATGAGTCACTTCCAACTTGATCACATTGAGTGTTTCATATACAGCTCACTCTTCCCAAAATGTGCAAGGAAGGATTTCAGAATAGACACCTCTGAAGAAGCACTCTAAAAGTGGGGCTTAACATCACTAAAATGGCCAACAAAGATTGGAACTGGACTCCTATTGCCCTGTTTCTGCTTTTTAGACTGTGTGACCCATGACCACACTCTAGACCAAGATAACTTGCTCTGCAACATACTAAGGTGGCCTATCAGCTCAGAAGTGAAGGAAACTGAGGCCAAGGCTGAGTACTCTGGCCCACAAGTTCCCAGAATATCATTCTTATAGAGCATGCTGAATATCAATCAGATGGCCTAGTGGTTAAGAATCCGTACTGCAATCCCAAAAGCTTGCCGTTCAAATCCATCATTTGCTTTGCAGGAGAAAAACAGGCATTCTCCTCCTATGCAATCTACTCCCTCTGACAACCTGCTGGAGGGTCAGCTATGGGTAAGTTCTGACTCAATGGAGTTATCCAATCACCCTACTTCCTTCAAATAAAACAAATTATTCCTTGAAGAAAAGTGTGATCTTTACCTTTTCAAGGAACAGATGATATGCCTGGCACAATGCTAATGTTAACAAATAAAATTAAAAAAACCACTCAAAAAACTCACTCAAAAATTATTCTTTTAAAAAACATATTTATTTTTACACGTTTTGTACACCATCCTGATACGATCTACACTGAGGTAAACAGATACGTATAAAATCTGAGTAACATTTTTGCATTCAAAAACAAAGACGCCCTTAATGTCTCTTTACAGGGCTGGTAAGGATTTATATTGATCCACTCTCTACCTTTTCCTCCCAGAGCCAAAGACTTAGTAAATAGGATTAGTGAAACCAGCTATCTTCATTCATCCATCCACAGACCCCAACAACAGTTCTTTAATATCTCTTCAGTGTGAGGCACTGTTCTGTATAATAGAGATATCAAGATGACTAAGACATGATTCCTACCCAAAACTACAGTGTATAGGCATGGAAAAAAAGAAAAATAATCATAGCTACTAAGCACCCAGAGTTTAAAAAAAAAAGAGAGAGAGAGAAAGCTCAGGGATAAGCCGTTTCAGCTCCAAGCCCAAACGACAAAAAATTTTGTTACAATTTTAATGAGGATAATTAAAATACTGAAACAGTGATGATACATACTAGGATATCATAGTGACAGGGTAAAAAGAAGCACAGAACACCTCAGAAATCTAGAGTGCTTAGCTTTAAATGTATAGCACCTAAGGATATGATTCCCTGTAAATTTTTAATAAAAAAATAATTACAGCTTTGAACACCTGACATATTCCAAGTAATGATAGCCAAATCCTCTAAAAAGGTCTTGAAACTGAAAATGTTATAGATGTTAAAAAGTGTCAAACACATTTCTGACAAATGAAATAAAATCCCTGCCTTTATGTGGCTGAATCTATTAATTCAGTAAATTTCTACTTAGTTTACTAATTTAGAAACCAGTTAATGGCAAATAGTTCTTAAAAGGCAAAGGAGAGCACTGATTTCTCAGTGGAACAGCTGACACTTGATCCTAACAAATAAATATGGTTCTGTGTCAGCAGACTACATGGCTTTAATATAATTTTCCCCCCATTTGTTACTATGTAGGAAGAGGCATTCTGCAAAAGAAAACTACTGTCCACATGAGTTTCGTTTTTTTAAAAAAATAAAAGGTGATCCAAGATGGAGTCTCATGAAAACAAGTCTCCCTTCTTTAAGACTTAAAGTTAAGTGCTAGCAAAGACGAACTTTTAAAAGCTCACTGCTGTTGAGGGGTTTCTGGCTCAAAGTGACCCTGTCAGATGTCCAAGTCTATAAATCTTTATAGAACGGGACTGCCCATCTTCTCCCCTGAGAGAGGTGCTAGGAACAGAGTCACTGTATCAAAAAGGATTTGATGACACAACCATTTCAGGAAGTAACAGATGATCAACAATCAATCAGTCTGAATGATTCAAAGCTGCACTGAAGGAAGTGGCAAAAACTAAGGTTCCAGGAACTGATGGAGTACCAACTGAGGTATTCAGCAGCCTCAGATCCACTCACTTAGTACAAGAGATCTGAAAAACCACCACCTGGCCAGCCAACTGGAAGAGATTTGTATTTGTGCCCACTAGGGAACGGGGAAGTGATTCCACAGAATGTGCAAATTATTGAGTAATATCATTATTATCACATGCAAATAAAATATTACTAAAAATTATTTGTTAATAGCTAGAGGACTACATACAGAAAACTACCAGAAATTCAATCTCAGTTCCGAAAAGGCAGTTGAACTTGAGAGATTGCTGCTGTCAATTAGAGAGCATGGCCAAAGGCAGAGAATACCAGAAAGATGTTTACTTGGGTTTTATTGACTAACAAAGGTATTTCCATTTGACTGTGTGGATCAAAGTAATTTATGGGTAACATTTCAAAGAATGGTCATTCTAGCACATTTAATTGGGTTTATGTAGAGCTTGTACATAGGAGCAGTTATTAGAACAGAACAAGGGTATACTGCATGGTTTTAAATTAAGGATAGTTTGTGTTAGGGTTGTATCCTTTCACCACATCTAATTCAATCTGTATGAATAAATAATCCAAGAAGCTGGGTCATGAAGCTGGACTAGACGAAGAAGACTGTGGCATCAGGATTGGAAAATGATTCAATAACCCGCATTATACAGGTGACATAACCTTGCTTGCTGAAACGCAGTGGACTTGAACCTCTTCCTGACATCAAAGTATTTGGTTTGGTTTTCTCCCTACCCAGAGGAGTAGTGCTGTAACCTCTTACTGAACATTAAAGACTTTTGATTGAGTGTGGATCAGAGCTCAATCTAAAAACTTCCCACAACTGGACCAAAAGGCAACATGATAATTAGAAAAAAGATTGAAGTTAGAGGATTTCATTTTACTTCACTCCATAATCAACATCCATAGTAGCAGCAGTTAAAAAAAAAAATAAGAGATCGTATTCGGCAAATCTGCTAAGGACTCCTTTAAAATGTTAAAGAGGAAGGATATGATATGAAAGACTCAGGAATGTTCGACTCAAGCCATGGTATTTTCAGCTGCTTCATATATATGTTAAGAAAATCAATAAAGAGGACTGAGAGAAGAATCAATGCCTGCGGATTTCTGTGAATATTGAACATAGCAGAAACTGTTAAAAAAACCCAAGCAACTCTGTCTTGGAAGAAATGAAGGCGGAGTGCTTCTTAGAAGCAAGGACGATGAGACTTTGCCTCACATCCTTTGGCCACGTTATCAGGAGGGGCTAGACCTTGGAAAAAGACATCATGCTTGAAAAGGTAAAGAAAGGGTCAGCAAAGATGTGAAAGAAAGAGTCTCAAAGAGACAGACTGGCACAGTGACTACAGCAATGGGCTTCAGCACAGTAACAATGGTGCGACCCTCACAGGACTAGACTGGATTTCATTCTGTTGTACCCAGAGTCACAATGAGTCAGAGCCAACCAAATGGTGCCTAAAAACAAAGCTCAATTTTCAATTTAATGACGAGTTCACACATAAGGATTCCTTGAAGTCTCCGCAAGACAACAAGAGTATAGAGGACCCCTACTGCCGCCAATTTATGAAGGAAAAGTATTAAAGGGTTTACAAGGGCTGAGGGAGAGTTGCCATTTTGCCCAGTTCCCTTAAAAAGTAATCACTACTTCATGAAATTATCAGTTGCTCCCTGACCTTCACTTTAGAGAAGCAATAAAAAGAAGGGTGTGAAGGCACAAAAAGGGATCTTAAAATCCAACTGCCCTAATTACTCATGCAACTGGTCCTTTTTAAAGAAACCTCCTGAGTACAAATGTTTTTATGATTTTGTAGAAGACTCCTCATCACTGCATGGCATGACTACTACTTCCTTAGACTTTTCAATAAACTATTTTAAAGGGTGTCTTTTTGGTGTTGGGAGTGGCTGTTTTGTTTTCCCATAAACCTTATGTACTTCCTACATTAAAATGGAGTGAGAGAGGTCAAGCCTAGATTAACTGTAGAACTGAGGCATAAATTCTGCTAGATCCGGAGGATGAATTCTTCTGCTCCAGATAATGGGGGAAAGGGTCTCATCACATGGACGCAGCCAGTTTCACAGTGATACACATACACATATGGATGATGAGAGGCACAAGCAGTGATTGGTCCTAAAAACAAAAGGTAGAATTGGGCTCCAAAACCCAATTCTGACTTCTGGTTCTTTTTCTGTCAGAGCTGAGCTGTTCCTTCTCTGTATGATACACATTTTGGAGTTCTCTGGAGAACTGCTCCTGGTGCAGCAAGGTTTGTTACAAGGTACTCACGGTATAGGTACCATGCTCATGGTAAGCTTCCAGCCGTAGCATATTGGAGGCTCTGCTATCATAATGAGGACCATGGACCCAAGATGCCTACTAGAGTTCAGTTTTCAAGACTTTAGGGACAATCTGATCATAGTCTTTCCTTCTTGTTACATTATATGACAGGAATTTTGAGTATTCAGTCAATAGGTTTTCCCAATAACAGGTGACATCATCCATCTGCAAGTGGTTGATAATAAACTGGTTTCCCCTAGAAAATAAGAGAGAAAATAAGAACATTTTAATCCCACTTGGGCATGTTGAATTTTTTTTTTTTAATGTATCAGTGTATTCTATTGGCTGGGATTTTATTCAGGATTTTTATATCTATGTTTGTAAGCGATACTGGCCTATAGCTATAGTTTTCTATTTTGGTGGTGTCTTTGCCTGGCTTTGGTTGTTGTTAATCAAAGATATTTTTGCTTCATAAAATGAGTCCGGGAGAATTCCATCTTCTTCTATTTTCTGAAATACAACAGCCTATATATGAGTGCTTACCTGTGTCAAGCAGTATTCAGAGTACTTTACATGACTTATATCTTCATAATCAATGCTTTAACCATCATACTCACACACTTGTACTTAGCAAGTGAACTTGTTGCCCCTTAAATACAAAGAGCCAATGCTCAGGGAAAAAAAAGTGCTAGATTTATTACCTCAAAGGTAAAGATGTTTACTTTCATAAAGGATGGAATTAAGGTATATGTGGATGTGCGTACATATTTTTCCTTCAGAAGAGCTTTAATTCTGAATCACCTTTGTACAAGGAGGAGGAAATCTGAGTATCACAATGGTGACTAGAGTCAGGTAACTTTACCTAAGGTGAGAAAATGACAATAAAGTGGAAAAAGAAAAAAGAAGATAACTTACCTTTCAGCAATTCCTTGGGCTATATCATCATTTGCTTTCACAAACTGCAACAGCTCTCTAAAATGGAGGAGAGGGAGGAAGTTAAACTTTGCAAGTTTATGAATAGTAATCAGGAAAGACTACAGATTGAAGCCTATGGTCAATCTTTAGATGTGCAGGTGGTGGATTATTTCTTTTAGTAAAGGTATCAGGAGGTCCTCAGAGGACCAAAATAACAACAATTTCATATGTAGACATAAAGCAACCTGTGCACATATGAAAAGACAAGAGAACTGTTCAAGGATAGAAATCGAGAGTTAATCCCAAAACCCAACCCCAGTGTTGTAGAGTCAATTCTGACTCTCAGCCGCCCTCCCTCAGGTTTCCATGGCTGTAAAGATCTGTGGGAGAAGACTGCCCACCTTTCTCCTGCTGGGTGGCTGCTGGGCTCGACCTCAGACCTTTAAACCAGGAGCACAACGTGCTCCCACTAGGTCACTAGCACTCCTTTCACAAGTAGATTGCTTGTTTTGTTTGTTAGGTGCCATTGGGTCGAATATAACCCACAATGACCCCATGAACACAGATCTGAACCCTGTCCTATCCACTGCCATCTCCACAATTTCTGACACATTTAAGATCATTGCAGCAGTCACTGTGTCAACCCACCTTGCTGAGTGTCTTCCCCCCTTTTGCTGTCCCTCTGCATGATGCCCTTCTCCAATGAACAGACTCTTCTAGCAATATGACTTAAGTACGTAAGATGAAGCTTTATTATCTTTGCCTCT